TATTCAGGACAAAATAACTTTGTAAACTTCTTAATAAATTGCCATTCTTAGGAACTTTTGTTAAATATTTACTTATTTTTTGTGGGCCATTCTGTCATATTTTAGGTCATATTTTGCCATTTCTAGGGCATAAATGCATGCACATTTTCAAAGTTTTTAGGTCATAGAAATCCGAGCCCTACTAATTATACTTGGAGAAGAGTACAAGACAAATTTTGTATTGGGCTGATAATTATATCATCACAACTTTTTGTTGTAATAAAATGTAAATCTGTTTGTTATCAAGTGCACTGTTGGGACATTAATAAATTGATAAGAACAGATGCCCTAGGCTACGCCTCTTTCTGAAACATAAAATTCCAAAAGCTTGTCAATTGGTTATGACTCAAATGAGAAATCTCATTACATTATATTCCTACACTAACCATTACAAAACTTCAAACATTAACTGGATTTTTATGAAACATAAAATTCCAAAAGCTTGTCAATTGGTTATGACTCAAATGAGAAATCTCATTACATTATATTCCTACACTAACCATTACAAAACTTCAAACATTAACTGGATTTACATTATATTCCAACAAACAATTACATAACTTCAAACATTAATTGTAATAAATGTAATCAAAACCAGATGTATATTAACCTAATTATTGAAGTTGTTTAGATGGGCCGATCCCGGAGGTACTGCAATACCGGGCCAACCCGTGACAGAGGTGGAGCAAGCCCCTAGCACTCCGTCATTTTCCAAAAATCAGTTTAATATTCTGGTCCTGCGATGCAGGACGTATCAGATATTAAGCTGATAAGAACAGATACTACACTTTGATCTTAGCCAAAAGGCCGAGAAGCGATAACTGTCTGTCCGCGTCGCGACGCCTAAAAATATGCTACGACGTTTCCTTTCCAGAAACGCTAACTGGTGGATCCTTAATTTTCACTTTACCTTGTCCTTCTGTCATCATACGAGTCGAACGTCGAACGTAAGCAGAGCAACACGGTGCAGAATGAAATATCCATCCCCCTATCAGTCAATTACTCTACGATGCATAAGCAGATAATTCCGTTTTAACCCATTTTACCGATCAGTGCCATCTAGCGGCTGCATTGGCGCTCGAAAACCTGCCGACAAGGACGGACTGATGCCTTCTGTTGTCTCTCTCTTTCTAACTCTCTCTCTCTCTGTCACACACTCGCTCAACGAGACCAACATGTTAATGTCGATATATGGAGTGTGGAAGCGATTCGTAATTTTCTCCACCGCCTCCAGCCATAACCTGAGACCGTATGTTTCGGAAGAACATTTTGCCTCCATCTTCATGGCCGGAGAGTAAACCAGCAGAAGTAGGCGGCAAGGTTAGGTTTTTGCAGCGGGAGCTTCAACTTTCGGGACTGGGCCCCCTCAACAGTTGAACTATCTCCAACGTTTCGACAAAATTTACAGGTGGCATCTTCAGTATTAATCAGTACGGGGTCCACGCCAAGTGTGGAGGATAAGCATACAGTGTGTCCAGATTCAGGTTCTGTTAGGAATGTGTTTATTAAAAATAAGAGACCTGAATTATTTTCAAAATTTCACTGTTTTTATTCAAAATAGGCTCCTTCTGAATCAATAAATAGCTGGAATCGATTGAAAAGTTTTCGAAAACGGTCACTGTACTCCATTTGTGGAATCGCGTTTAAAACTTCAGTAGATCCCTTTGGATGTCCTAGATGGTATCGTGACGGTCTACTTTCACCGC